ACTATTTTATGGCCACCAACAGCTCAGCAGGGCCCTGGGCCAACAGCTCCCTGAGCCTCCATTGGGGGCTCAACTCCAGCCTCAGGCTCAGCTGCAAGGCCCAGAATGTCTATGGGGCCCAGAGTGGCACCGTCCTGCTGCTGCCAGGTCAGAGGACACAGGGGGGCAGAGACTCAGGGAGAGGAGCCTGGACCCCGGGCAGATGGGGCTCAGGGTTGGGCAGTACCAGGTCTCTTGGGAAGAGCGGGTAGAGGCCCTGCTCTGGGGCTGCTGGGGGAGAAAGGACCTCAGAGCCCAGATTCTGTGGGAGAAGAAGGCACAAGTCTTCTGGGGCTTGGAGAGATAGCACCCTGAACCCCTGATCTGCAGGGAAGCCAGAGCCCAGGACAGGATTTACTCTGGGAGCCGTGGTCGGGGCCGGTGTCACTGCCCTGCTCTCTCTCTGCTCCTGCTTCGCCTTGCTCAGGTAAGTGTGGGACTCAGAGGGTGGGAGTTCCTGTTGTGGGAGGTCTGCAGGTCTTTGAGCCTCAGACAGTCCCAAAGGCAGGTACCTGGACAGGGCAGAGGCCCTGAAAATTGGGCCTTGGGTCAGAGGATCAGAGCAGAATCTTTTCCCACTCCCTGATGCCAGTCACCCGGGAGGGTCACCTCTGCTCATCATGGGAGTCACCTGGTGAGATGTGGCCTCACCTACACAGCCACAGAAGCCTTCTTGGTGCATTAGAGCAGGGACAGCAGTCCCCTCCCAAACTCTGAGCCAGCGGGCACTGAAAGGTCCTGGTCCCTCCCTCAGGGTGAAGACCTGCAGGAAGGATACACCCTCCACCCTAGATCCCACTTCCCTGGTGAGTGAGGTGCTCTCTGTCCACCAGGGTCCCGTCTGGTCCTCTCCCCAGGATGGCCAAGGCCACAGTCCTCTTGGTGACTTAGTGACTCATCATGTACCAAATAGGCTGTTTTGCCTGACTCCCTATCAAAGCAGCCCCTAGTTCTGTGACCCAGAAGCCGCCACCCCCACTGTTCCCTATGTCTCCCACAGAGCCAAGGGCCACCTGGTTGTCAGCTGTGCTCAGCTCCAGTGCCCCCTTCCCACCTTGTCCTTTATTTCTCTCTGGATCCCTGACCCCTTTGCCCTCCTTCCTGGCTCTCCTCAACACAGGATGCCGGCGAGATCTCCCAAAAATAATTAGTGTCTACTACAAAGCTAGGGGGTCCCCAGTCAAGAGCACTGTGAGGTTTTATTATCAGTAGGAGAACTACAGCACCCTGTGGAAGCCACTGAATCCTGAGAACAATTTATAGATTATAAAGTGACAGGAAGAAGACTATGGGGCAGGGGCTAGGGGAGACTACACCTGTAGTTTCTGGTTATCCTCTCCCAGTGGGGTCACACAGACAGCAGTGGCTTCTGCCAGCAGAAATGTGTGACAATGCTTATGAAGTATTGCTAACCATAGAGGTCGCCTGAGGTTTGGTCATATAGACAGGCAGCCCCCATGCGGCTCACCCAAATTCCTCAGTCTCCAGACCCTTTAGGGTCAAACTGAGGCTACCCGGCCCACAGCCCCTCTGTAAAGCATGGTGTTGGCATAGACTATTTGACACAGTCTGTTACTCCCAGCTGAGGAAGATAATTTAGTTACAGTTTTCTCCCAGGAGATGGGCACAAGGGTCAAAGCTTTCTTGGGATGAGGTAAATCCTTTACTGTGCTATATGCTTTGTGTCTTGATCTCACAGCTCAGTTTAGCAAGTGCATTTGAATAATACATCCTCTGAGGTCACTGAGGGCCATCCAGGTCTGAGCAAACCCCCATCCTCCTCACAGCACCCTACTGCTGTGCATCCTACCATAATTTGCAGTTAAATGGTAACTTAATTGACTATTCCTTTATTGTCTGCTTCTCCCTCTGTCCTGCAAGCTGCATAAGCTCAAGGATGGTATGAGACTGGCAGTCAATTACCAAGGGCCAGGTGTTACTACTCTCAAACATTTGCTGAATGTACGAATGAGTGAATGAATGAATGAGGGCCCAGCCAGTGCTTATGGAATGAATAGGTCAAAGGCTAGATGCTTGGTTTCCAGGTTCTCCTGTGGGTCTTGCTTGCTCTCTCCTGGGTAGCATCATCCTAATTTGATCCCTTTCTCCCCTCCATTCAGGGTGACCAGCATGAGTGCCCCCCAGCCCCTGCTGTAGCCACCCCCACCCCCGGGGAGGAGGAGGAGGAGCTCCATTATGCCTCCCTCAGCTTTCATGAGCTCCGGCACCAGAAGTGTCAGGACTAGGAGGCCACCAGCTCCACCAGAGATCAAGATCCATAAGTGATGACCTTGCTGCAGGTCCCAGGGCTTCTCTGGGGAGGGCCATGTCAGGGATGGTTCCTGCATCACAGTCCCCATGTGAACAAGATATCAACTAGCTTATAGGAGTCCCACTTTCTACTTGTGGTGATGAGCAGAACTGGCCTCAAATTTCAGCCCCACCCCCAGATGAGAACTTGAGCTTGGTGGTGCTTGGTGGTACCTTTCAGGGACCCACCTCTGAAGTTTGTCACTGGAGCATTTTCCTTAAAAACCTGTTGTTCCTGCTGTTCGCCATCGGTGTTCTCTCTTCCCTTCCTTTGGGAGAGCAAGAAGGGGAGGACAGGATCTGAGTGGTTCCCATTTTAACATTAAAAAAAAAAAA